GGTAAATTGACGACAAAAATCTTGCGATCGTTTTGATCACGTCAATAATACTCTGTCCCTGATTACATCTGTCAATGAAAAAAGACAGCCTCGGAAAATTGGTTCGATGATTTCGACCCGAACTTTTGGGGGCCGCCCTGGTTGCGTCACTAAGATTTAATATTATCGTTACTAAAACGTAAAGAAATTAGGTTTTATTTTTACAAAGAAGTTTTTTTCAAATGCTTTTAATTCTTCATAATAAATAATTATATTGAAATTTCTAATGTAGTTAATGCTGTTTCTCATAAAGAGAATCTATAATTAGGGATGGGTTCGGTAGGCTATAGCCGGCTAGCTGACCGGCTATAGCCGTAGTCGATGATAGTCGACTAGATCGGCTTAGCTGACCGGCTAGCCGATACTAAAATTTTTATTCCTGGCTGATAAATCATAATTATTGCAGATTCTCGATTTTGATTGGCTAAAAGCGACGACAACATCTGCCCATTAAGTGAAAAATGTTCCTGAACTAATTTTACCATAATGGAGGCCTATTTACCGAAAAATTTTGTAGACCACGGCATTTAACTAATTAAAATTATGAATCTAAATTGGTGCGACAGTTACAGAATTTCAAAACAATCTAATTCTGGTCAAATTTACAGATCGTTTGGCCTACTGGGGATAAGTTTAAAACTCATCCCCAATAGGCCAAGCGATCTGCAAATTTGACCAGAATTAGATTGGTTTGAAAATGTAGATCGGGATCTTCATATGTGGCTCGAATTTTTTTTCGCCATGGCTAGGGTACTCTAATATGTATAACTGTATAACATATAAAAATATAATTATTTGGCACTTTTTTATATGTTTTGATTGAAAAATTGATTAAGAAATTGATCAATAATTTATCGGCTATAGCTGGCTATAGCCGGCTACTAGTCGATAGTCGATGATAGCTGACCGAACCATCCCTATCTATAATTAATTTAATTCCGTTAAATTTATGACGACTATAAAAACGTTCATAAATGTATAAACCTTAATGTTCATCCGTAGAAATATTGAAAGTAAAGATCGCTTAACTATTTCAATTCTGTCAGAAAGCAAGAGCAATAAACCTATAGTATCATTAAAAAAGTTCACCATCATCATTAAGCCAATATTTTACTCCAATTACGACTAAACTTTAATGATTTGATAAAAGTTGTATAATCAAATAATAGCTTTAGATAATTTGGAATAATTATTCTCTTGAAATTAATATTTTTCGTTCTTCAATTAGTGCTGGAATACTCGTTTTTATTAACTTTACATTTTCAAGTAAGCTGATGGATAATTCCATAATATTGGTACAACGTTACTACATTATTGTTGATTTACAAGAAAAATAAAAAATGACTTTTATAATCAAAAATAATTGAATATTATAAAAAGGCATTCATTAGGCAATGCTATCATTTTGGTTAAATGTCGATGTTCGGTTTGCTTTCGTTTAAACATTGCCCTTATATAAAATTATAAAAATAAAAAAAATGTTAAATTTATTTATTTCTGTATTTATTGTTATCTGATGTTTATATGTCGTATTTGAAGTACCATAACATCAATCACAACGTATATATTATAAAATAGTTCTGATATTTCATGACTGCGTCGTACAGCTACCTTATTCACATGAGAAATATTCAAACTATACTAATCTCATTATGAGAATTATTATAATGGATTATTGTTTAATTTTAATAAAAGTTCCTATCATTTTTTTCTATTTCTTTCATGTTTTCGCCAATAATCTCTTTTTTATATTCTGGGTTCGGAAAGATAACCCAATTGTAATTGTTTTGTTGAAACTTTCATATTGGAATGGATCTTCTTAAGGAAAAAAATATATTAAAATATATATTGTGAATAAAATAGAAAGAAAAAAGAACTTACCAATAACAAAAACAATCGTTTTAATTGCTTTTATTTTAAATTTGCCGTGGATTGATTCATTGATTTTTTTAATTAAATTAGGATCGTTTAATCCGAGAGTGTTAATAAGATTGTAAGTATGACCTCCGATAATAATCGTGCATTTTTCGCAATTTTTGGTGACAGGATATCTCTTTATATGCAGTCAATAAATAAAAATGATCTTTATTAGGCCATAAAAATCCATAAATATACGTTAACTAATATTATTTTAAATTACATACACTTTTTTTGACGATAAACTTGCAAGATCCATTTCCCAAATAGTTTCCCAATGCGCTTTTACCCGAACCTACAAATTAATATCTTATATGTAAATTAATTTTATATATAAATTTTATACAATTTAAATATTTACCAGTTTCCCCTAGTAAAACGATTGCTGGTTCAACTTCTGGTGATTCAAATTTTTTGGTATTATTATTAAATGGAAACGTCGTCAAAATCAAAAAGATCAAACCAACAACAAGACAAATATGCAATGGATTTTTAATTTCGGAAATCATCATATGCCATGAATCCAGTTGTTTACTCCTTTTCCAAGGATTTTTAATTTCGGAAATCTTCGCTAAATCGTTCATATTTTTAGTGGTTACATCACTAGATTCTTCAAAAATATCATGATTTGGTGCGACAACCCATCGATTATCAATTTTTTTGATATATTCTTTAACAAAATCAGGAAAAGAAGATTCCATTTTTCAGGACTTTCAGTTTGTTCTTTAGAACATTTTGTAAATACTACGATTACATTTTCATTATTTAAAACTTTCATGCATTCATCTAAATGAAAGCTTCTATCTGCTGTAGTTTCTATAAATTAAGTGAATTAAAATACAAATATAAACAATAACATTGCTATGCATGCGAAATATATCAAAAATGTATGAGTTTGAAAATACGTGCCAAGTACAAAAAGAAAAGCACGAACTCCATGTTCATATGAATTATCAATAGCTTTATTAATTTCTAACCATGTTCTTTTTGAACTAGTCTTTTCATTTGTGAACCCGGTGTATCCACTAAAACGAATTATTGTTCATCTATAGAAAATTTTATAGTTTTTATTTTTTGTTCATTGTTTTCCTAAAATTAGATTTGCATATATGAAATAATATGATATTCGGAATAAAGAAGAATATCATTGTTATTTATTATGGCAAATATAATAATAAAAATTAAAAAATAATATTGAAAATAAATAAACAAATAAATAGATACATCACGACCATCTCCATCAAAAAAATTTTCGGAATAGCATGCTTTTAATAGCATATTCCCGAGAGTACTTTTTCCTACACCTAATAAATTATATGAAATTAATAACGTAGAATATACTTTAAACAGTTTATCTAACATGCCTTCTCTTCCGACCAAAATTATAGAAGGTAAATCAAATTTTTCAACTTTTTCATCCATAACTTTTTTTCAAAAATTGTTAAATTTTTTAAGGTTTATTATTTATCAAAACTTATAATATTGTGGCGAAGGAATATTTGAAAATTTATTTTAATTATTTATTTTAATTATTTATGTTAAAGATTATGCAATTATATAAATAATAAAGTCAGTACATTATAGAGCAATAAATTTCAAAAATAAAGGTAAAAATAAGTTATTGCTGCGTGTTTGACTACCTTTAGACAAATATGGTTTTAGGCGTTAAAAAAATTTAAAGCATTTTTTTTCAATGAAATGCTGTCTATATTTTCCGTGGGTAAATGACAAATTTGCGCAAAAAAAGAACTACATTTAGCTCATTGAGTTTTCTAATTTGATGTCTTAAATAAAATATTTTAGGAATTTTAATTTGTCTATCGTTCAAAGACCGATTAACATCCTTAGTATTAGAAAGAAATTACAAAATAAAAGCGATAAGGAAGGCTGAGAAATTAAATCCTCAAACTGGCTACTAGTTATACTGTGGGAAAATGCTTGCATTTACAGAATTCCTTAGATCTTATAATAGTATTCAAAATACTTAATATGTAATCGACCAAGTCCATTGTGCTCTATTATAGCAGCAATCTGCATGTTGCAAAATATGTACGTACGTACGTACGTATGTATGTCCTTACGTACTGTTCATACCTGATACGTACGTACGCGGCGCAAGAACTTTCTCTTCATTGATTACACTATATACTATTAAATTAGGATCTAGTATGATTTTGATAAAATTAACCAGCATTTTGGTTATAGTTGGGCGTCAAATTTTAAACTACGCGCTAGTTAAGTTAGAGCTCAGAACTTTTAACCTCTAGTCCAATTATAGTTAATATCTGATAAATATTATCAGAATATGTTCTTGAATTACAAAGTTATTTAAAAAAAATACAATCATAGATTCTATGATTGCACTAATATGATAATAGTAATTCCAAAAGTCGACCAATACACAAAGCATAAGGACTATACACAAGGATTTATTAAAGTCAGGTTTCAATTGCCTAACAATAATTCATACAATAATACTAACGAGTTTCTACTCTATTCACGTTTGTCCCTCACAACAAGTCCCCAAGCTATTAATCCTCTGACAGTGCATAAAATATAGTTGTAACACAAATGCCAAGAATGATAGCACCATCTTTCTTATCAGTATTATAGTACCTAGTATTCTGTTCTTTGTTATATATATTATATATAGAGTAAATATACCATAGTCAATATATGTAATCTTAATAAATGTTCTTGATTCCCATCGAAAGCTAAATAGAGATTTACACTCATCAAACAATAATAATTTAAGAAATCTATTATTGCAATTATTAATATCTTTATCTATCTTTAATAGTATGCCTATTAATTATAAACCGCTAAGTAGTCCTTTTTAATGTTAACCACGAAATAACTTTTTTTAACTTAAACACAACTTAAAAATTTATTTAATAGATAAGTCGCTAAAGTAATCTAGTCACATCAAACTTAAAAAAGTAGTTTGAGTATAACACTAAAAAAAAGGTGCTATCTCCGCATTCAAAATCCATCCATAATTTCAAATAATAACAATAATAATTAATTATAAAATAACATTAATTTGACTGTAATCTATAAACAGGTTATTTAAAATGGGAAGCAACGAAACTAATATAGATCCAAAAGAAATTAAAAATACCACAAATAAAATGTTACCACAAGTTGATGTAAATCCAAAAGTGGTTAAAAATACTGCGATTTTAATCATGGGATGCACCGGTAGAAATCTAATTAACATTGTTTTTGATGTTATTTTAACAACTGTAATAAAAATTGTCATGAATTTTATATTATTATAGGAGCTGGTAAAACTACGTTAGGAAATTGGATTATAGATGAAGATTTATTCGAATCAGATAATAGGATGGTTTGTCAACACAATTTATTTTTTTGTTTAACGTTTTAAGTATAACTGCCTCATTCAATATTTCATTATTTTAATTTTATTATTTTAAGGATACAGTCGTCACTAAAGAATGTCAAACTACCCCAATTCGAATTGATGGTAGAGAATTTGTTATGATCGACACTCCGGGTATATTCGATGCAAAGATTAAGGATGAAGAACAACTAACAAAAATTGGAAAATAAATTGATATGTGTACTTATGGAATCCAAGCGATAATTCTTGTTATTAGTATTTATTACTATGATAAACATTTTTCTTTTATTTTTGAAACTTTTTTTAAAAAAATAGCTAATTTATTTTTAATTAATTAGATATACAACACTACCGAAATTTTGAAGGAATAGTTTGTATGATTAAACAATTTCTTGGAGATGGAGTTATCAACCATATGATAGTTGCATTTTCTCATTTGAATAAGATGCAAACTGAAGAATATAATATCGAAGACAGCCTTAATCTGCCAATGAAGAATTTTTTGGAAACTATAGAAAATCGGTGGATTATTTCTCCGAATCCAGATATATTTAACAGGAATGACCAAGTTGTAAAATGAAGTATGAATAATATCAAAGAGACGATTCTTAAATTTAATAAGGCCTATAATTTACTTAATTTTAGAGATGCACGGTATGTAATCATTTAAATTATTCGAATATATAATCTTTTCATGTGCTAGTTGATAAACCTAATAAATATATTCAATACAATTTACTTAATTTTAGAGATGCACGGTATGTAATCAGTTATAGTTATTATCGTACGGGTCTAACGTAACAACCCGTGCATCACTCTTTACTAATAATTTAAACCTTTTTTATTTTGCTATTTTAGTAATTTTTTTTTAGTTGTTCGTAAAAATTTTTCTTATTTATTCCAACTTTAATTTATCTCCTTTAAATATCGAGCAGCAACTTTACTATTGACAATCTTGAAGGCTAATGTTTTTTTTGTTGCAATTATGAAAAAAAAACTTTGAAACAACCTGTAGATCAGTTTTAATAAAAAAAAAAGCATTTCTGAAATGTAGAACCAATTTGATGAACTATTTTATATAAACATATTTATTTAATAAAATAACTTCGTATTTTACAAGTGAATCTGTTATACAAAATGAAGAAAGTGATAATTTTAATTATTTATTTGAAATTTTAACCTTACAAGAAAAAAAAACAGGCTCAAATTTGTATTCAAGACCATAAGGACTTTAAAAATTTTTTCTGATTCCATTCATTCTTCACCCAACAATTAAAACTTTAAAAATCTTTTAGTTATAAGAAACTTTAAAAATTTCAAATACAGTCTTTGCCAATTATAAAAGTTTAAAAAATTATCTGATTGAATATAGTATTCACCCAGTTATAAGAACTTTAAAAATCGTTCAACCAATTTAGTCTTCTCCAACTATAAAAACTTCAAAATGACCCTACCAAATAAAGCTTTTCACCAGCAATGAGATTTTAAAAATTTTCAACTAAAATATAGTATGAAGATTTTAAAAATAACTTGATAAAATATAGTCTTCACTCTACTATCCCTTAATCTGTATATAAATTTGATGCAAATTTACCCTGAATTTTGTAAAAAATTTTAATTTTTTTTTAAATGTTAAGATAACTTCTACATCAGTGATTTATTATTAGAATATCATATTTATTACATTCATAATGAAAGTATATCAAGCCACATGTGCACTTTTGGTGTCTAATTTAAGTAATCCACCCAAGGCGTTAGTACTATGCTAGGGTTCTATACTATCTGCCATACCTGTAACCCTACTACAGGATTACTCATTTTAAACTTTCTAATCACAATTTTCACAAATCATTAATCCTAATCCGGATATAACCTCACACTTAAAGAACAATGGATTTATGTGACACCACTAAATTAATAGTCATCTTAGGACTATTTTATTCACAAAGTAAACCTAATACAGCATTGCATATCCTACACATTCAATTCCATGCTCATTCAGCAATTTCTTCCCAAATTAGTACATATTGTCTGCTGCCATTGTGTTGTATTTCATGGAGTGCAGCTATAATGCAATCTGTATCTCAAGCACAATCTTTCTAATTTATTTATCCATTATTTACTTATACTCTTTATAAGGTTCACAAACCCAGTACCCCATTCTGTTACTTTCTGCACTTTACTTTATTTGGTTTCATTGGTCTCCCAGGCTCAAGTCTGAAGGTCACCCAATTCTTAAATCATGTTTTCATAGCATGTGCCTTTTTCTCCAGAGTCTCATTCTAGGATCTTCTAGTTATCGAAGTAACTAACAAATATACAAATAGCACGGCTCTAGTGATCTTGACGGCCAGATTGATAAATCTCTTTTATCTGAAAGATCTTGTCACCCAAATCCACTAAATATTCGGATCTAGTTGGGTTAGTTCTGTGGTAGCACCAATTAGATAAGAATCTGCTATTTCTCTATTCAGGATTTGTCAAGCCAGTTTTAGTTCTCTCAGGCTGCTATGTATAGATCTTTAATATATATTGATTCTAGAAGGCTTATCATGGATTTTCACTGCCTATTACTAGTTTGCATTTCTTTGTGCAATGATACAGATTCTTCTATGTCTTCTAGTGCACTTGAGGTATTAGTATACCCTAGTTTACAGATATAAAACCCAGCCCAATTTAGAATAAGCTATTACCATTATACAAGTAAATTGTGTTAAAATTCACCAGTGAATTTTAAACTCAGTACTATAGCCAAACTAACTTAGGGTGCAATGACTCTACCACTTAGCTATATTACTACACCCTTTGTAAAATAATTTTTATTCTACTTAAATTATAATAAATACTATAAATTGGTTATAAATCAAATTAAAAACAAATATTCAATAAATTTATTTACTTTTTACTATAAAATCTTTAAAACTATTAGATCTTACTTTAGAGCAATATGGCAGATATGGGTATTATGGCACAGTAAGTATTTTAGCTAATAATATATAATATATTAATCTGAATTAAATGATTTTAATACCATTTGATTTAATTTATCAAACCAAATCAAATAGTATCAAAATTATCCAGTTCTAATTACTAGGTTATAAATTATAATTAATTTGAAATACAAATTAAAAAAGATAAAGTATAAAACAGGTATTAGTTATGGTGTACATACTATTTTTCATGTTCTATTGAATTCTATTGATCAAAATAGAATGATTTCAATACTATTCGATTTATCTTATTGAGACAAATTGAATGGTACTCAAATTATGTAATACTTTTCAATATTATTAATATATCTTAATTTAACCAAAATAAGCTGCACAAAGCAATTTTAAAATTAACATAAAATAATAAATAACTTTTGATATACCAACCCATTTTCATTAATTTTCCCATTAAAATGACCACTATGAAGAGACAATTTCAACAAGCCCAAACTTGCTAAAATCCAATTACAGGATTACAGGATCATCAAGGTTTGTATTGTTTTTTAAATTAATCTATTTTAAAGAATTATTTTTAAATATTTATTAGATCTTACTGTTATTTCTAATAGCAAAGATATATCAACCCAAGTGTTATATAATGTATGCATACATTATGATACTATTATTAATAAATTTTGTAAGTAGTATGGAAAATTTGCCAGGAATCAGAAATTCAGGGCAAATTTGCCCTGAATATAGTTTAAGAGATAAGAATTTTAAAAATTACCAACAGACCAAACAGGGACCTACTACAAGAATTTTAAAAACTACTATGAAAATTTTAAACATATCTAAAATGTTAGTCTTCATATACAGTTTTGCCTTTTATGAAAAATAATTTATTCATACAGGCAGTGTTGGCATTGGACATATGTCCACCCATTTTTAATACCATTGGACTGGACATGGATATTGGACATATACTTGAACATGGTCCAGGTCCAGTATGTCCAATTATCTTATATAAGCAAAAATTTTTAATTTGATTAGGAGTTTTAATAATTCATACAAGTAATACCATCAAGGTAGGGCTCCGAGGTTTGGGTTCGGCCCAGTTTAGGTTCTGCCCAATTGAGAGATTGAAGCTTCAAGTAAGAAATTAAAAGCCCTTATACAAATTAGAGAGATATATATAAGGGTGTAGTTTTAGTTCATAAAGTGAAGAATAATTGTTAGAATGATGATTAATAATATTTAGTATTATTGTAATAATCCAATGTATTGATTTATATTAATAAAGAGAAACTTTATACTCTATAATTATGTATATTAATTTATTAATATAAACAATTTGACTTTAATCAATATATTCATGAACAAAGTTAAATTGGTTCAAGATCCTACTAAGCACTCCTACCCAGATTATATAGGTTTTGTCTTAAAAATGACCTTACAGCATTATGTATTATAAAGTCATTTTCAAGACAAAGACCCTATATATATACTAGTACTATATATATACTAGTAGCTCAATTGGACCTGGACTAGTTTGTGAACAGACTGAACCCAAATAGAACCCAAACATGTTTTAAAAGTTTGGCTTCAAAATGAACTCAAACTGCCTTTTTACATTAGTCTGGTTCGGGTCTGGTCCAAAATTCAAACTTAGTCTCGAACTTATCAAAAGTCCAATTCAGTTCAGGTTTGTAGGAGCCCTATATTAATTATAATACATATGTAATATTATATATTATTATTATTGGATGATGTCCAATGTCCAATACCTTCTGTTCCAATAGATTGGACTGGATTGGACAAGGGTGGTCCAATGTCTAGACCCAACACTGCGCACAGGTACTGTTATGGGCTAAAATGATAACTGACACAAAGACTACAACTCAAAAAAAAACTAACACATACACAAAACCAAACCAAAATAGGAGAAGCGAAAGAGATTTGGCATGGTAAGACTTTTTGGACAGATTTTTATGTATATGAAGATTGAAAATAAACAACTTAAGAATAGCAAGGATATTTTCATTTATAGAACAAAGTTTAAAATTATTTTATTAAACTTGTACTGTTCTGCCCTTTCAACTAAGGTGAACTACAGGGCTATTTATACATAAATTTTAGACAAAAGATAAAAGAAAAAAAAAAATAAAAGAACTATAGCTCTTTATAATACTATCAATATTAATTCTTGGATGATTTTTGGATTATCTGGCCCTTATTTATGCGTATGTAAACATTCGTTTACATGGCCACACAATTTATTT